ACAGTATCTCAGTCCTGGGTGTTTTATGTGTATTCTCATGCATTTGTGATGACAAGGCCCTTTCCTTCCTCTTCCCCTCATAAGACACTAATGACAAATATTCTACAACAGGACCAGCATTTCAAAAGTGGTTCATATAACACCCGTTTAGATAACATTTGTAAAATATCTGGCACAGTGCAAGACACTTCAAAAGTGAACAGTGAATGTCAGTTCCTTTCACTCTAGTTGGAATCTTTAAGCTGGCTAATTCCGTATTTAATTCTAAGCCCTCCTTGGGATTTGTAGAACTGTATATTCTTGTTATTAGAGTATACCCCTGCTTTCTCCTAGACCATAAACTCTTAACGAGTGTTTTCCCTGTGACATTTGTCATAATGATTTATTCATAGCTTGTGTTCTATAAATGTTTGTTTAAAATTCAGCAGGCACTTAAGTGCCTATTATGTTCAGTGTATGAAGTTAAACACAGAAAACAAAGTAAAGGAAATGGAAAGGCATATTCTAGCTGTATAGTGGGAAAATGTTGCTTACTTTTAAAAGATAAACGTATATTTTACATGATAGATTTGAATTTATGAAAATAAAAGATGTTGACACCCTGAAATGTAATAAAATAAATATGGAAAGGAATGTTAAAAAAGCAGAAAAATATTTTACTAACATATCTGATAAAATCCTTCTAAGCAAAATTGATGAAAATTTGATAGGTATATTTGTTCTGTAACAGGATTCTGCTTGATAGATGGTTGGAGGAGAGAAACAGTTCACACATGAAGAAATATTAACAGAAAGCCTTTATGAAGAATGTGTAGATTTTCTAGTAATTAATAGAGCTCAGGCATCTCCAAAGCACATTTATTCTGTAATAGACTTTACTCAAGAAATGTATAATGTAGAGCAAAAACCTCCAAAAACATTAGTACAAAAGCATGTTGTGCTAATGCATTAAAAACAAAAACAATAAAAGCAGGTTCTAATCCCTTTTTTCTAAGCCTTTTTACTTCCATGGTAGCTTTTAAAAATAGATTTTATTTTTAAGAGCAATGCTGGTGTCACAGCACAATTCAGAGGACGGTACAGAGGTTTTCCATATCCCCTGCCTCCCTGCCACATGTCTCCCCTGTTCTGAAAGTTCTGCGCCAGAGCAGTGCTTCTGTTACAGTCAACAGACCTTCACTGGCCCGTTGTCATTGCCCAGTGTTATAGTTTATGTTAGGGTTCGGTCCTAGTGTTGTAGATTCTGTGGGTTTGGACAAATGTGTGATAATGCACATTTACCGTTACAGTATCATACAGAGCAGTTTCATTGCCCTAAGCACCCTCTGTGCTCTGCCTGTTCATCCCTCTGTCCCACATAACCCCTGGCAATCAGTGATTTTTTTTTTTACTGCCTCTTTAGCTTCAACTTTTCTGAATGTCATGTAGTTGGAATTACACATATGTAGCCTCTCAAGATTTGCTTTTTTTTTTTCACATAAGATTTCTCCTTGTCTTTTCATGAGCTCATAGCTCATGATAGCTCATTTCTTCTTAGTGCTGAATAATATTTCATTGTTCGGATGTAACACAGATTATCCATTCACCTACTAAAGGATGGCTTGGTTGCTTCCAAGTTTTGGCAATTTTGAATAAAGCAGCTATAAACATTTGCTAAGCTGCTTTTTGTTTCCTGCCAGGCACTTAACCTCTCTGGAGCTTAATTTCCTCATTTGTAAATTTAACTGATGAGTACTAAGGATTCTGAGGTTTGAAATTATGTGGTTATATAGGTAAAAATCATGAGATTTATAAATTATGAGTAACTCAGGCATGCCTGCATGCTGACTGCATTGTAAGTTGGGAAAGCCTTTCTGGTAAAAAGCAGTTTGGTCCTATATAACAAAAATTATAATCTGTTCTTAGACTTTGATCAGATCATTCAGTCTATTTGGGGGGTATACTTCAAATAAATCCAAAAGGGGATTAAAAATAGCATCTTTTATTTAAATGAAGATTTTCACAAGGTAATTTGTAAAAGCCAGTCAAAACTAGAAAAGCAATTCAGATGCCCAGTACTGGGGAAATGCAGAGTAATGTGCAGGAGGGCAGGGATCTCGACTCTTCTGACTAGCATGCCCCTGGCACTGCGCTCATTTTGGTGCTCTGAATATTTGTTGACTGTTAGACATTGAAGAGAGAACTTAAGGAAAAAAGAGGAGCTTTTACTGAATATAAAAGATTATAAGCAATAACATTCTGTTCTTCCCTTTGCTGCTTCCCATCTCACATTGCTAAACATTGCTATGCCAGCTGTTACTACTGGACACCACTCCTGCCCCTTACAGATACCAGTTAAGACCCTAGGCATGTGATGTAACAGCCATGACAGATCAGCTTCTCACTTGGAAAATATATCAGTGCAGTTATAAAGGAGTTAAGAGTAGACTGTGTATCCCAACTTTTCTAGGACAGTCTAAGTTTATGCCTGATGACTCAGTGTAAATCTTAGTAGCATGTCATTTAACTCTCACAGACATTCTGTTCTGGACAGTAAGTCACCATTTATTTGAGGGCCTGACTTTCTTCTTTAGTGCTATAGTTGGGAAACATTTTCTTGTTTTTTTTTTTCAGTTCAGTTTACTTTAAGGAACATTCACTTAACACACTCAATAGATAGAAGATGTGAGATAAAAAAAATTAGACAAAGCCCTGTCACCAAAGAATTTCATTTGAATGCTTTTTCCTTTTTGTTTTGGTAACTCATAGCCTCATTCAGAATCAGAAGTGCTCCTAGACTCAAGTTCCTTCCCTTGCTTCATTCATTTAGAAGGCTCTTTCCTGGCTTGCATCTGGCTGCATGCTCCTCTATTCTGTGGAACTTCCTGGAATTTACCCATCTGAGAATCTGCCCCTACCACATGGCACTCTGGGTCTTTAGGATCATGGGATTCCTCGCCCAAACACTTCTGAGCCTGCTTCCAGGGCCTGTGTGGATCTCTTCCCTTGGAGAGAGAGAGAGAGAGAGAGAGAGAGAGAGAGAGAGAGAGAGAGAGAGAGAGAGACACACACACACACACACACACACACACACACACACACACACACACACACACACACACACACACACACACACACACACACACACACACACACACACACACACACACACACACACACACACACACACACACACACACACACACAGTGCCAGTAAGCCAGGGAGGGGAGAAGGAGGGTGCAGACAGCAGGCCAGTGGCAGGAGCTGGGGTAGTCTCCCCCCAACCTTAGATGTTCACACACACACACACACACACACACACACACACAGTGCCAGTAAGCCAGGGAGGGGAGAAGGAGGGTGCAGACAGCAGGCCAGTGGCAGGAGCTGGGGTAGGCTCCCCCCAACCTTAGATGTTCCAAAAATTCAAGAATTCTAATTTTGGTATCTGGCCTTTAGGGTCATTTTGAATGTGTGGGAGCAGAGAACATATTTTATATAGTAATTAATTAGCTTGACTTAGAGCTCTTAGACGTAAACAAATGGTCTCTGAGCCTCCATTTGGATTCTTGCCATGGACTCCACAATTATCTGAGGCAGGCCTACTCAGAGTAAAACCTAACGTCTTTATTCACCATATCCTAAGAGATTGTACATAATCTGCCCTTAACCCCTAGACCTCATTCTGCCCCTGCTCTACTGCTTCCTCATGGTCCCAGAACACCCCAGGCACACCCCCGTGCCACGTCTTCAGACTCGCTGCTGCTGCTGCTGCTGCTGCTGCTGCTTCTGCTTCCTGGTGTGCGTTTGTTCTGGGTGCCCGCCTGACCTCTTTCCTCGTGTCCTCAGGTCGTGTTTTCCTCCTGTTCCCCAGAGTCATTATTTTATCAGTGAGACCTTGCCTGGGCAGGCTTCCTAAAATTTTGTTACTCCCCCAAACACTGACTGTCCCCTGCCCTGCTTTGTTTACTTCCCTTAACACACCGCTATCAGTAAGTTAGAGGTAGTAAAAATGAAACTTTCCCCCCTAAATATGCTTCTTTTAAAACCCTTTAGATAGTAAGACTTTTTTTACTAAAAAAATTTTTTTATGTTTTTATATCTTAAAGTCATTCATGTACCCACTTTAAAGATTCACATAGTTCTCTAAGGCAGGCTAGTTACTTAAAGCAGTAGGCCCCCCACTCTGCCCTCAATTTTAAAGGGGACCATTTTCAGCTCCCTTAAATTATTCTTTTGATATTTCCCATCATTCTATATAACATACTTATATTGCTTCTTCCTAACTTCTCAGTTTTAGGCATTATCTACCTACTTTCCCCCGAAGAGGAAGAGAATTAAGCTCTCCCTTATCACTGTCGTGCCCTGTGCATGTCTGGCTCTCCCTCTTTCCAGTATGCTTACATTGTGATTTCGGTTAGATCAAGATTTAATGTTCTAAAAACTGTAAGCACAAGTCACAGCTGAGCTATGTAATGTACTGTGATTAGTTTTCTTTTCCTTGCGGCATTTTCTTTTTCTTGGAGTTAAAAATTGTCATGGTTTTGATTTGCTTACGTTATTTGCTTTTCTAGGTTATTAGCCCTAGTTCCACTGCAGACGGTCCCGGTTCTGTATATCTTCTTTCAGTATGTTCAGACATCTGTTTTCTTTTTTTTTCTTTTTCTTGAAAAAAATCAAAGTCTTCACATCTTTTCTAGTCTGAACCATTTTTCTCAGGATTGGCTTGAGTTTGACTGAAATCAAAGAGATTTTTTTTATTTCCAATGGAACATTGGGCAGTTGTTGCAGATACAGTTGTTTTTTCCAAATATATTATTATTAGACAAATTTTGAAAATGTAACTATTTACCATGAATTTGTCCATGGTTCTCTTTCATGTGTTGTAATTAAGATATCTTTTATTAAAAAATATAGAATGTATTCTTATGTTATTTTGCATAGAGCATATTAAATTATTTGAGTGATTATATTTGTTTTGTATTCTTTTTTTGTATTCTGATATATTCTTTCTTTATAGGCTCTCAAAATTAGAGAGGTCTGTAATTGCCCACCACTTTCTGGACCAGACCCTCGACTAATGTTCAAACTCACCATGAAGCATTTTCTTGAAGAGTCAGAGAAAGAGGACCCAAATAGCACTGTTAAGAAACAGAAAGTGGATACCCTTCCTGTTCAAAAACAGAAGCAAATACCGTTAACATAAATAGCTGAGACAAGAACTGGCAATTGAATTGAAATATATGAGATATCGGGTATATGAAGAATACAGCAGTCCTTATTATTTTTATGTTACTTTTAAAAAATGCTTGAAATGAAAAAAATTTATATTCAAAGTCAAATCATGTATATTACAGGATATTACCTAAATTCTTCTAGGTATTTTTCATGAAATATTGATGTATTCTAATCTATTTTAAAATATCTTCAATGAGGGAAATGTCACAGAATAAATTTATATTACACATTTAACCCTGTTTCGTACCTGCTTTTGATTTGGAAGGCAGACCTCTAGTGGATGAGAAATTAGAATATGTAGTAATTGTTATTGTAGAGAGGGTTTCAGCTGAACCTAAACTGGATTTCAGAGCTTGGGTGATTATGATGAACTGGGAAATTGACAATCTAAGGCACCTGTTCATAGAAATTGGTTTGCATTGGGGCGGATCATGTGGAATAGGGGATCTTGGGGGAGAGAATTTCTTGAATCTTGCTATGGACAGTGACAGAAAATGGCTATAGAAAGAAGCTGAGGAAGCTGCTCTCATAGCGGGGCACAAGGACTTCCATTTGTGGTCCAAGTGACAAAGTGATGAACAAAATGGAAGAGGGGTCATTTCCTTGTAGGCACAGTGTGCTTCTGGTGCCCTGAAGTCTTTTCTTTCTTTTTTTTAAATTGTTATTCTATTACAGTTGTCCCAATTTTTCCTCCTTTGCCCTCCTCCACCCAGCCCACTGCCGCTCCCATAGTGGATCCCCACACTGTTGTCCATGTCTATGCATCATTCGTTCATGTTCTTTGACTATCTTCCCCTTCTTTCCACCATTATTGCTCTCCCCTACCTTCGGGCTGGTGTCAATCTGTTTTATGTTTCTGTGTTTCTGGTTCTATTTTGCTTGTTAGTTTATTTTGTTCATTAAATTCCTCTTATAAGTGAGATCATAGAGTATTTGTCTTTTACTGCCTGGCTTATTTCACTAAGCATAATATTCTCCATTTGCATCCATGCTATTGCAAAAGGTAGGAGTGTCTCCTTTCTTTCTACTTTGTAGTATTCCATTGTACAAATGTACCACAGTTTTTTGATCCACTCATTTACTGATGGCTATTTATGCTATTTATAGCACTTGGCTGGAAAAGAGCTGCTGAGAACATTGAGGTGCATAAGTTCTTTTGAATTTGTGTTTCAGGACTCTTAGGGTTTATTCCCAGCAGTGGAATCTCTTGGTCAAAAGGCAGTTCTATTTTTAATTTTTTTTTGAGGAAATTCCACACTGTTTCCCACAGTGGCTGCACCAGTCTGTATTGCCACCAGCAGTGCACTAGGGTTCCTTTTTCTCAACATCCTCACCAGCACTTCTTTGTTGATTTATTAATGATAGCCATTCAGATAGGTGTGAGGTGATATCTCATTGTGGTTTTAATTTGTATCCCTCTGATGGCTATTGATGTTGAACATCTTTTCATATGTCTCTGGACCCTCTATTTGTCCTCCTTGGAGAAATGTCTATTCAGGTCCTTTGACCATTTTAATTGGATTGTTTTGTCTTCCTGGTGTTGAATTGTATCAGTTCTTTATATATTTTGGAGATTAAACCCTTGTTTGACGTGTCATTGGCAAATATATTCTCCCATATGGTTGGTTTCGTTTCCATTTCGATTATTGTTTCTTAGCCATACAGGAGCCTTTTAATTTGATGTCGTTCCATTTTTTTTCCTTTATTTCCCTTACCCTAGGAGATATATTGACAAAAATATTGCTATGTGGGATATTGGAAATTTTACTTCCTATGATTTTCACTAGGACTTTCACTAGGTATCATGATTTATATTTGTGTTATATTCATTTTGAGTTTATTTTGATGTATGGCATAAGTTGATGATCTAGATTTATTTTTATTTTTTTGCATGTACCAGTCCAGTTCTCTCAAAATCATTTATTGAAGAGACTGTTTTCATTCCACTATATGTTCATGCCCACTTTCTCAAATATTAGTTGACCATAGGGATGTGGGTTTATTTCTGGGCTCTCTATTCTGTTCCATTGATCTATGTGTCTGTTCTTATGCCAGTAACAGGCTGTTTTGATTACAGTGGTTTTGTAATATAGTTTGATGTCAGGTATTGTGATCCCTTCAACTTTATTCTTCTTTCTCCAGATTGCTGAGGCTATTTGGGGTCTTTTTTTTTGGTTCCATATAAATTTTTGGAGTATTTGTTCTAGATCAGTGAAACATGCCCTTGCTATTTTTATGGGGATTGCATTGAATCTATAGATTGCATTGGGTAGTATGGACATTTTAATCATGTTAATTATTCCAATGCATGAACATGGTATATGCTTCCGTTTATTTGTATCTTCCTCAGCTTCTTTCTTCAGTGTTCTATAGTTTTCCAAGTATAGGTGTTTTACCTCCTTGGTTAAATTTATTCCTATGTACTTTATTTTTCTTGTTGCTATAGCAAATGGGATTTTCCCCCTAGTTTCTCTCTCTGCTAGTTCATTGTTGGTGTACAAAAATGCTATTGATTTCTGAGTATTAACTTTGTATCCTGCTATTTTGCCAAATTCACTTATTAGGTCAAGTAGTGTTTTGGTGGAGACTATAGGGTTTTCTATGTACACCTTCAAGTCATCTGCAAATAATGACAGTTTTATTTCCTCCTTCCCAATTTGGATGCCATTTATTTATCTTTCTTGTCTGATCACTATGGCTAGAACTTCCCATATTATGTTGAATAGAAGTGGTAAAAGCAGACACCCTTGTCTTATTCCTGATCTTAAGGGAAAAACTTTTAGTTTTTGCCCATTGAGTATGAGGTTAGCAGTAGGTTTCTGTATGCTCCCTCTATTCCCACTTTGCTGAGTGTTTTTGTCATAAAAGGATAATGGATTTTATTGAATGTTTTTTCAGCATCTATTGATGTGATCTTGTGGTTTTTGTCCTTCATTTTATTTATTGTGGTGTATTACATTTATTGATTTGAGAACATTGTACCATTCTTGCATGCCTGGGATGAATCCCACTTGGTCATGGTGTATGATGTTTTTAATGTATTGCTGGATGTGGTTTGTTAATATTTTTTTGAGGATTTTAGCATCTATGTTCATCTGAAATATTGGCTTGTAATTTTCTTTCTTTGTTGTGTCTATACATGGTTTTGGAATTAGGATAATACTGGCCTTGTAAAAAGGGTTTGGGGGTCTTCCCTCTTCTTGAATTTTTTGGAGTAGTTGGAGAAGAATAGGAGTTAGTTCTTTGAATGTTTGGTAAAATTTACCTGTGAAGCCATCTGGTCCAGGGCTTTTGTGTGCCAGGCATTGTTTGATTACTGCTTCAATTTCTCTTGTTATTGGTCTGTTCAGGCTTTCTGCTGCCTCTTGATTTAGTTTTGGAAGATTGTATGTTTCGACTCATTTATCCATTTTGCCTAGGTTGTCCAATTTCTTGGCATATAGTTGTTCATAGTAATTTCTCACAGTCCTTTGTATTTCTTTGGTATTGGTTGTTCTCTTTTGATTCTGATTTTACTTATTTGGGTCCTCTCTTTTTTTCTTGATGAGTCTAGTAAAAGATTCATCAATTTTATTTATCTTTTCAAAAAAACAGCTTCTGGATTCATTGATCCTTTTGTTTTTTTTAGTCTCTATGTCATTTAATTCTGCTCTGATCTTGATTATTCCTCCCTTCTACTCACTCTGGCCTTTGTTTGTTGTTGTCCTCTAGTTCTTTTAGATGTGGGGTTAGGTTGTTTATTTGAGATATTTCTATCTTCTTTAGGTACGCCTGTAGTGCTATGAACTTCCCTCTCAGGACTGCCTTTTCTGTGTCCCATAGGTTTTGGTTGTATGTTCATTTTCATTTGTTTCCAGAAACTTTTTGATGTCTTCCTTGATATCATTGTTAACCTGTTCATTATTTAATAACATGTTATTCAGTCTCCATGTATTCAAAATTTTTTTTCCCTTGAGGTTTATTTCTAGGTTCAAGCCTTTGTGATCTAAGAAGATGCTTGATATAATTTCAATTTTCTTGAATATTTTGAGACTTGTTTGTGTCCTGTCATGTGGTCAGTCTTTGAAAATGATCCATGTGCTTTGAAAAGAATGTATATTTTGCTTCTTTGGGGTGAAGTGCTCTGTAAATACAAATTAAGTACATTTTATGTAGGGTATTGTTTAATGCCACAGTATCCTTTTTGATTTTTTGTTGGAAGATCTATCCATTTTTACAGTGGGGTGTTAAAATCCCCTACTATGACTGTGTTGTTGTCAGTATCTTCTTGAAGTCCTCCAAGATTTTCGGTGCTCCTATGTTGGGTGTATATATATTCACAAGGGTTATATCCTCCTGTTGGACTATTCCCTTAAGTATTATGTAGTGATCTTTGTACCTTTTTATGACTTTGGTTTTAAAGTCTATTTTGTCTGATATAAGTATTGCTACCCCAGCTTTCTCTTCCTGTCCATTTGCTTGAAATACATTTTTCCATCCCTTTACTTCAGCCTGTGTAGTTCTTTTGTTTTGAGGTAGATCTTTTGTAGACAGCATATATTTGGGTCATGTTTTCTTATCCATTCAGTTACCCTATGTCTTTTGATTAGAGCATTTAATCCATTTACTTTAGGGTTAGTATTGGTAGGTATTTATTCATTGTCATTTTTCCCTTTGTGCCTGTGTTCCTCTCTCTCTTTTTCTTTATCTTTTTCCAGCCCTTTATCTCTTTCAATGCTGGTTTGGTTGAGATGTAATCTTTTAGCCTTTCTTTTTTTTTGGTCTAGGAGGCTCTTATTTTGCCTTTCATTTTAAATGAGTGCCTTGCTGGGTAGAGTTGTCTTGGTTGCAAGTCATTGCTTTTCATTAATTGAAATATTTCATACCATTCCCTTCTTGTTTGTAGTATTTCTGTAGAGAAATCAGCTCATAGCTTTATCAGAGCTCCCTTGTATGTTACTAGCTGTTTCTCCCTTGCTGCCTTTAAGATTTTCTCTTTGTCTTTAAATTTTGCCATTTCAGTTATAATGTGTTTTGGAGTGGGCCTCTTTGGGTTCATCTTGATTGGGGCCCTTTGTGCTGCCTGTACTTGTGTGAATTTTTCCCTCACCAAATTAGGAAGTTTTCTGTCACTATTTTTTCAAACAGGATTTCTAGCCCTTACTCCTTTTCTCTTCTTTCTGGAATCCCTATGATGCAAATATTGTTATATTTCATGTTGTCCTGCAGCTCCCTTAAACAATCTTCATTCTTTT